CGCACGCACGCGCACGCACACACAGAGGCAGGACGCTAGCTTAAAGCAGTAACTCAGACTGAGTAACTTTGCGGTTTAAACTGGTTTACCAGTCCAGCGGTGTCGCCGTGGAATGCTTCTAAAGACTCGGGCAATGTGCTGTAGGATAAACATTTCCGTTACCGCCTCCACATGTGAACATCAATCAGTCCCAAACAGAAATACTGAGAGTGAGAAATGAAAAGGTGAAAGGGCCAGCTGGTTCAGTGGGTAGTATAATGACAATGTGCAGGACAGGCTCTCAGTCTACTGTACACAGAAGCAGATGGAGTTGGTTTTCTTTGCTGCAGGTCAGGTCTGATTGGGCAGAGAGTAAATTAGGTGGAGAGTCAACAGTGGGGCTAAACACACTGTGTATGACACTGAAGAGAGGCAGAGACGTAGTTGTTCAACAGGTGCAGAAAATCTGGGTAAAATAATCTAAGAACTTGACCCAATATCACATGAATTGATGTATATTGATGTTAAATGCCCTTAACTGCATTTTCTTCCATTCCATTACCTTGAATGTAACAGGAATAATCGCTCTCTTTACTCCGCTGTATCTCCACACAGCAACTCTGTGTGGTCCATAATGAGCTCAGTAAACATCTGCTACTCCTGTATTAGAGACCATTTTCTCTGCGTCTCATCCTGTAATATGAAGAAATTAGAGTGCAGGGACTCGTTCAGCCTGTTTATACACACACACACACATTCACAGAGAGCAGACATAACATAAGGAGTCCAAGTGTTTTTATACTACCCAACTGACGCTCTAACATACCATCTCAACACCACAATTTTCCATCCACAACAGTAAAACACTACCGGGTGTCCTTGGTGTATGGTCCCTGAATATCAGTTTTTTTTTTTTCCAAAGTGCAGGGTACTGGGGCCTGTTCCAAGAGTCAGGTTTACTGGTTTATCTGGAAATCTTTACTGAGTTAAACCCAGAAGCCCCTAAAATCTGGAATATGTGCATGTAAACTCCCTTTCAATTTTTTTTTCTTTTTAAACATCCAGATTACTTAGTAAACATGCTCTTTAGAAACAGGCTCCTCATTGACTGAAATAATATACTATCTGTTTACTTAGCATGGCAGGAGTTTCCCTTGAAAACACTGTAGGACACAACAAAGGCTTTTCTTATGCAACTGTTGATGAGGACATATATAGAGAAATTGTGCCACCTAGTGTCAAGACTCTGTTACTCCATAGCAATAAACTGGCATGCAAGTAGCCTAAAAGCATCCTAAACAGTCACAACAGAAATGCTAACTTGTATGTTTCTTGCAAGAACAAAATGTCATTCAAAAGCTTGGAAGGTTTAACATCTTTTATTATTGAAACCACTTAATGGATCTGCAGAGTGCTAAAACGCCAGTGATGTTGAAAACTCATATACTGCAGACTAACAAGACAAAAAGAAAGCAGCATGATTCCTCAGAGTACAACACCAGTTTCCATATTGGCTCCTCCTTATATAAACTGGTATTGCAGAAGTGAGCCATCTGGATAAACTTAAAACCGATCACAGTCCAGCAGAGTGTTCCAATTCCAAGCAAACCTCATAGCTCAGTTTTTTCCCATTCCTGAAAAAGTCTGTGTTGATGGTAAAAACTGAAGAATGTTTTAGAAGGCATTGTCCTCATTTGCCCATCTCCTCCTTGACCTCTCTGAGAATCTCCTTCTCCAGTCTAGAGTTGTCGTACTTCTTCAGCATGTCGAACTCCAGCCAAGGCTGTGCCCACTTCTGGGCGTGCTCCATCTGCTCTGGAGTCAGGGACAGGTCAAAGCGTATGCCTTGGATGTTGAACTTGGGTCGCTCCCAGCGTTTGGACCACGGCTTTGGACGCATCTTTACCTTCAGCTGGTGAACAGACAGAAATTATGAATCATTGGAAATTTTAATATCACCACAGATGCAGGCCCATTGTATCCCACACAAAAAAAAGAATTCAATCGAATTTGTGGAAATATTATGGATTACAAACTAAAGAACTACAGGGAGGTGCCTATCGGAGGTGTCCGATCTGCAATAGAAGTATGCGTTTCTTAA